TGTCAACTTTACCAAACGTATTCATTCTCGGCGTGAAGCACAGACGGCATGAAGTAAAACGGTTTTGCTGTTTTTCCGGTAGGGCTTACTATGAACAATGTTCAGAAAATCTACTGTTTTCGTTTCTAGTAAAATTATGCTTCCTCTACGGGACAGCTTCAAAACGCATTAGAAACCTTGTCGACCCAGTTTAAAATTACCCCGTTAGCTGATCGACGTTAATGATTGCCCGGTGATTGTGTCAGATATGTCTTTGCTGAGTGATGGAGTGCATTCGTCACAATTATCGTATTGAAAATGATCAAGGTGAAGAGTGCTTCAATTTTCTTTTACAGTATGACCATAAGCATGGAACGAACTGAATCAAAAGGAACAGCTTGTCGACTCAAGGACAATGTTTTGCCTTTTCTTATAATTCAGAATAGGACCCATGGGATTCTATAAATAAAACCCCCACCAGCATGTCTTTCTTTATTACCACCCTGCCCTTGTGCCATTTAACAGTGACTGTAATTTACTTCATTGACCTCACGGCAAAACACCCTGTTTTTAGTTCAGCCTTACAATCCTTGTTATAAAAGGATCAATGCTGAAAGATAAAATCCTTTCAAAACCAACTTTCAAGTGAAGCTGAGAAAAAAATTAAAAATGCACGAATTTACGATGTTATAAAAAATAATAAAAATCTGCCTACAAATAACCATCATTCGGTAATTCCTGTTAAGAAGGCGATAAAGAAGAACTGAAAAACTACAGACCGATCAGTTTATTGCGCATCGTTTGCAAGACCTTTATTACGGTCACGATGAGCAGACCTGAACAGAACTCAGTTGTTAGCAACCGAAGGTACAAGTCAGTCTCAGAAGTGTATTTAATTCAATGGACAGACATTAGGAAGTTGACATCAAATGATTAAAACAACCACCGAATATCCCTTCTCCTTCTGACTGGAATTCTAGTACTGCTACAGATCTTTCCTTGCTCGACTAATGCAGTTTTTATCAACGCCTTCACAATTTTCGATCAGCAAGTATACATTGTCTGTACTCGATCTGAAAGGATATTAATATGATAGTGCTTGAAAAAATCCGGCCAATAAAGAATGGATGTAAATTCTGGAAAAATATCTGTATTGAACACTACAGAACTTCTGGAGCCATGACGCGTTGATTCGACTTTTAGTTTAGAAGGAACCACAGAGACTCCAGAAACTTTGTAACCTCAAATAACGATTTTGTACAGGTTTTAAGCCGTCCCTATTGATCAGTATCACTTTGATCACATGGACCGGCCAGTAATCAACATGGAATCGCAACCGGAAACCTCCCCCCATTCCTCGCGATTGCGAGTTTTCGAATTCTCCAATCACGGCCTTTCCGGTTCCTGATGTACGGAAGGCGATCAAGTGGCCCAACTAGTCCACAAAGTCTCTCGTCAATTCCCATCGCCAGCCAGCTCCGTTCCGTTTGTGAGCGAAGTTACGTGTCCGGGCGACTGTAGC